ACCGTAATATAGAATTTATATATTATATAATGTGTTATAACAATCATTATTATGAAAATGGCTTCTTCAACTTTAAATGTTTTTTTAAACTTTATTTTCAATTTTAAATAATAATCTATATTTTAAAGTAACATGAATTTAAATATTGTATATCGATTTTTAATGTCCGTGATTATTGGTGTTTTTATATGTACAGGTATTTTTAATATTTCTATTAATTTTTTTAAGTTTGTATATAAAATCTTTCTCAATGTCATTTTATCATTGATATCCTATAATTATGTAATGACGTTTTTGTGTTGCCTTGATGTCTCGTACTATTTCCTAATGTATTTAAAATATATATTGGACAAAATAGATAAAATTCATTTATTCGACTATATAACCATTATTTACTATAGTTATATCGGTAGAAAAGCACGTTTACGAAGGGCTAATAAAACAAAACTATCGATGCCTGTGATATTAAAGGGCTTACCATGCTGCGATATAATTATGATCTACCGTTATAGCCACGTTTATAGTAAACACCTTTTATACTTTTCACGTTCAAAGAGGCATTATTTATTTTAATGTCCTGAAGTGAATAATTGCATTCGGTCAAACTACAATTTCCACATAATTCACAGTAATAAAACTATACAATGGAGATTCAGATAAATGAAATGAATAATATTCATCGTTGAAAGCAGCAACGAAGGGTAGCAAAAATGGTTACCGTACCAATTTACTACCGGGACCCTCCGGTGCAGTCCGACCTTTCGCCATCCTAGGCCCTTGCAACGAGGCCCTTTGTCACACGCGGCCTTTTGCCACCACCCGGATTATGCCAACTAGCAGGCGCGAAACCAGTAGGGGGGACTAAATTTTAAAATTTCAATGCATATCAATGTTGTGTATTAAAATAAGCGCTACTAACTTATCTATTCTGAAAATGTTGGCGTTTTACTAATTATTATAGAAACCAGCACATAACTTACGATACGAAAAAAAAGGTTAACGTTAATGGTTGTTGTTGAACAAGGTTATTAAACTGGAAATGCATGAGACTATTTAGTATTTGGCTATTTGTATTTTCAAACGTGACGATCATTCTACTAGATCTACTAGTATGACATTGTAAACCTTTTATCATTTTCAGTTTATCTAGCATAATTTATTCACATATGCACGTAATTTAATTATAATTTACACATGCTAATTAATATGCTGTGCTTGTTATTTTTAATAGAGACTTTCGGTGTTGTATCCGATACTTTAAAAAAAAAAGTGTTCTTTAATCACATCCGAGTATCTCAGTATTAAAATGTATTGGGAAGCTGGTTTATTGTAATGCGTTATTAAATAATTCAACATTTTGACTGTAAAATTTTATTTTATATTTTTCTTTAAACCATAATTTATTTATAGATTTAGTCTATAATACAGTCGTTGATATTTTTCATTTTTTTTCCTTTATCAAGTATCCCAAAGTTTAGATGTTGTTACTTACCTTTTCCATGTAATCATATAAGATGTTTACTAAGAAATTTCCAGCGGTTGCATCCTCCCGTATTTGCTTGTTTATCAGACAAATACTATTCTGGCGATTGTAATTCACCGAAAAACAGTAAATTTTTCTCGAGCAAGCTAACAAACATTGGATACGATTAATGTTCTCTAACTCCTGACTCCAGCCCAGTAAAACATGTTGTGGAAAAACAACATACGACCCTGTGCTAGTAACTGAAATACCGGCTCCAAAGTAGGAGAGGAAAGTAAACAAGACAGCAAAAACATACATTGTCCTGTATAATAGTTGTATTTTAACGTTATGTTATCAGAGAGATATACAATTTCCTTTACATTCACTTCGATTGGCAAGTAGCGGTAGATGAGTGTATCTAATAAAACTTGACTACGCTTGTATTATTAAAAATTCTGACAACGGCTTTTGGCCAAATTAAATTGGAGAATAGCACGAACACAATGACGTAACAAATGTCCTTTACTTTATAAGTATACCCACATCCTTATATTTACATGTACAAGTAATTAAAATTGTTTATTGAGCAGATTAATCTCACTGACTGAAAGTTTTATAGCCTATTTTTTCTTCCCCAT